AGGTACAGTGGACATACGTGTCTCCAGACCTGACCATGACCACCTCTCCATGCCTCAGAACTCAAAGGCTCAAAATCAAAGACATAAGCTCACAGTAAGATGTGTGAAAGGCCTCAGGGGAGCCCAGTAGTCAGCCTTTTCAGTGTCAACTTACAGACAAGTCAAGCACATATCAAAATTTTACAGAAGCAGCAATTTTATGACCTTAAAACATATAGCAAAAACAGCATAAACCTTTCTGACCAGTAGACCCAGAAAAACAAAGTCTGAATTATATTTAGTATTGGCAATTCTGAAGATATTCGTATTTTATTTTGCCAACAATGTAAAAGCTTGCTTCATTTACCAAATATTATATAAGATCAGAAAGAAACATCTGATACACATAACACATATATACATATAGACAGACACACAGACAAGAGCAGAAGTTAAAGTTTTCAGAAAAATTTTTCATTTGCTAGTTTCCAAATAGTTTTTCTTTCCCCCAGTTCAGACTATCAATATTCCAATTACCTGTTTCATTGTTCTAAGCAATTCTTAGCTAGAAAATCCTAAAATTTCACTTCTAAAGTGATGACTTTTAGGTAAAATAATGTAGAAATTTTATCTCTCAAATGCATACAGCTGAGACTTCAGGCCTACGTGTTGTACCATCTTTTGCACAAATCAAGGAAGGAGGATGTGGATAAATGCCCAGTTAAGACAGGATGGATAGGAAAAGGTACTTCAGAGGTGAGACTTCTTACATAAATCTAAGTCAATGATAAGAGTCTCTAGTAACTTAGTCTTTCCTCTCTTCCTACTGCACAGAGGCAGACACCCTTAAAAATGGAGGTCTCCTTTACAGATATAGATTTCCTTTAAAAATGTGTTTCAAAATAGCCAGCTAAATGCCAGAAAGGTGAATTCGGAGACCAATTTAGTTCAATAGGCAGTCTTTTTAAGTTAGCCACTGTTTTTTAGCTAAAATTACTGAGTTCAGGTTGGAGTCCATTAATTAATAAGGCCAGGAAATAATTCTCTATGTGTGGTCTCAGCATGGATAGCTCTGAAAAGAAAAAAGTCTACTTTACTTGAGGGCCTACCTTCCATGAACACTTTATATAACTCGCTTTTTATCTTTGGGGCAAGACAGTAAGCCAAAAGATTAGCAGATTCAATTTTTCTTGTCAATTTGTTGCTTAAGCTTTCTATTTGCCTTTTGAAAGACTTTTAAAAGAGGCAATAGAAATATTAACTTTTTAAGAAGGTTCTGCACATCATTAGGCGTCCCTGGATATGCCTAATTTGGGAGCCTTCATTTTTAAATGCACTTCTTAAAGTGTGGTGTTGGTGTTGTTTATTTGGACCATTCCACTATAATTTTAAATTGTCTTTATAAGATTTTGCCATTTTTGTACGTATTTGTGGCTGGTAGGACCTAATAATTATACATGTAGAAGTATGGGGTAGACAAAAGTAGAGCACTCCATTCTTCAGAAATTAAGGATCCTATTTTTATGTTGAATATTGATTTTGGCTCTCACATCTCGATTAACTAAGCCAAAGATTTTTCCCTACCTAATGCATTATAGAACACAAAATCCTGGTGAATTTCTGAAAGCCAGAGTTCACACTTTCTGCAGTATTGCCATTTATTGCCAGTTTGTCTGACCAGTCAGCTATCTAAGACTTCTAACTGGTTATAAACCAGTTAATTATTGAGTCTAACACAGTCCAGTGTCTGTCATGACTTCTGAACCCAGTTAAGATAAAAAATGTGCACATCCAAATTCAGATAATCAAAACACAAACACATGGATCTCCATAATTGGAGAGACAACTTACCTGTGATCCCCTGTTCATTCAAGAGAGCAATGGATACAATGGAGCTGGTGGGTACCTTGCTTAATCACTCTGTGCTCCTGGAGGTTGCTGAAAGCTCTACTTCAAATCTCACTTCTGAGGCCATCTGTTAAAAGAAAACCTTTAGAAAAATTAAATTTTAAATTCAGTTAAAGAACAATTCAAGAGTCAGGCAGCCCTCAGAACCAGAATACATTCAGAGCAACTCTTAGACTATCACATGGTCAGATGATATTTATGGACAGGAAAAAGAAAAGTGAAGTACAGGAGATTTCCATCTTGGTGCAGAAGATGGAAATGAGACACAGAAACAGTGTTTGAATATGTTTTGAACAATTGGCCACCTGTGATTGGCTGAAACTCTGTAATTGGTAGAAGAGTAGTTTCTAGTCTGCTTAGAAATGCTTAAGTCAAGCTTAAAATATGTAAGGAGGCAGCTCTAGGCTCAGTTAAATTTAACAATATGATTGTATTTATATTAGTGTTTACAGATGAGAATTCCAAGGCTCTAGAAGGACTTGCTACTTTGTGGAAAGGTCAGAATTACAACACAAACCTCAATCATCTGGGCTAGTAGGTTTTTTACTGAAGCATCATTCACATTGCACCTAAGTGCAATTAAAAGATTAAGGATTAAGGAGAATAAAAATACTCTACTGGAGGTGGGATAAATGAGGGATCCAATAAATTTGTTTCATTATAGCTATGTTTATATGCTGATCACCCTCGTATGTAAAAGAAAACCAAAGGATTGAATGAAATGTATTCTTCATTTGAAACTCCCACTCCCTTTTTTGAGCATTTTTATGAAGTAAAAGGTATGTACTACAACTTAGTTTTTGGGCTTTTTTATTTTTTTGATACCGAGTCTCACTCTTCTTGCCCAGGCTAGAATGCAGTGGCGCCATCTCGGCTCACTGCAACCTCCGCCTCCCGGGTTCAAGCGATTCTCCTGCCTCAGCTTCCCGAGTAGCTGGGATTACAGGCACGTGCAACCACGCCTGGCTAATTTTTGTATTTTTAGTAGAGATGGGGTTTCACCAAGTTGACCAGGCTGGTCTCGATCTCCTGACCTTGCGATCCACCTGGCTTGGCCTCCCAAAGTGCTGGGATTACAGGCGTAAGCCACCACACCCGGCTGTTTTGGGGCTCTTATTGGTAAAATTCTCAGTTAGTAACTAGGAACATTTTTTTTTTTTTCCTTAAGAAACTTTCCCTTTTGATCTGGTTTATATGAGGGCAAGTGAACGTTTCTAAAAATACCTTTCTTTTGTCTTAGATCTCTGGCTTTTAGGAAGCAGAATGGCATGTTGAAAAACAAGGTATTTTTAGAAACTGCATCTTTCATTCACTCTTGTGGCCTGGGGCAAGTTACTCTGAGTCTCATTTTTCTTATTTGTAAAATGGTGAGATTTTATTAACTTAAGGGGTACCATGAGAAAACATGCTTGACAATGTGCTCAATTTTAACACATTGTTATTTAATTGTTTATTCAGTTGGAGGTTAGAGTTTGAAACTCAAAGAGATGTTAAAGTTTATCTCACCCTATTCCTTCAATTTATATATGAAAAGATTATATATGAGAAAGGGTCAAGCTAAGACAAATTTAGTCTACTCATATTGCATTGATAATTATATACCTGCCTAAGTATTTCATTTTCTAAACAATACTTCTTTAAAAGACTATATAAATAAATAAATAAAAATAAATATATACATACGAATTTAACAAAAGTAAAATTATAGACTATGCATTTCTAGCAAAACAATTTTAGACATGGTGAACATGTACAATAAATCTTTATATTTCTGCCAGATTCTATCAGAAGTGTGTTGGGAAAAGTTATGCAAATATTGAAATTAAATCCTAAACTACTTACAAAATTATTTATTATATCATATATTAAGTATCATATTATCCAAATATAAGGTTATGTGGAGTGAAAAAGACCACAATTTTCTAATAAGTGAAACTTTAAAATTACAGAAAAGCCTTTGTTCTAGGAAACATAACTTTGTTAGTAACAATAATAGCAATGCATCATAATTACATACAAACAGCAAAAAATGAAAATCTTTCTTTTTCTGTTTTAGCCTTGGGAGGATGAACTGGTTTTATAGATAAACTGATACAGTTGCTCCCCAGCAACTACTCAACATATATTTATATAACTTGCCTACAGAGGTGAAACCCCTCGGAGGCTGCTTTTCATGAAGATACTAAGCTCAAAGCATTTACGACATGCTTTTTGACCCTGACCCTGTCACTTTCCTCTCTCTTCAAACCAATATGAGGGGTTTGTAAAAAACCTTAAAAATATCAGTGTCAGCTTTTTCAAAATTTTTCGTATATTTTTTTTCAGTGACAGCTTTTGTGTCTTGGGACTGCAGGGGTGACTCTGTGCACTGTTAGTGCTGAGATTCCTGAGTTCCCAGCACCAGCCCTTGCCTCACTGCCCAGCTCCCCACTGGGCACATCCTCTCATGTCGAAGATTATAACTAGATTGTGAAAGCTAGGTTATTTTGTTTTAAATGCATTTCCTTAGATTTTCTTAAGCTATAAAATGGTTTGGTCATGATGTTTGTTTTACACATATAAAACACAGTCACAAAATAGTACTTTATGAACTCAAGTACTTTTTTGAAGTGAAGTAAATGTTGATGCAATTATTCATTGCATTATTAATTTTTCCTTTTACATAAGGAAAAAGAGAGCAGAGAACACAATTCTTCAGATGCTTATGGCTTCAGAAAAAAAGATTAGAAATCCTAAAAAATAGAAATCATAAAAAGTAAATTTTTTAGTTAAAATAGGTTTTGCAAAAATATTTAGGAATAAATAATATAAAATTCCCCAAGTAAAAAATAAACATAGAAATCTTGAGTAATTAGACAAGGTTTTAATTAACTTAACAATATTTTCTGTACCACATATAAAAGGAGATAGAGAATATCTGGCCTATCAGCACAACGTTGGGCTTTTAAATTTTGAGTTATTCAGGTGAGTGTGGAAGTGACAAAATTTTCATCATTATAAAAGTCTTCTATGCTCATTAAAAAATTGAGCTATTCAAATATACTCTTTTGACATCCAGATATCATTGTTTGAATAATCTGTTATTTGGCTTTTTGTTTATTAATTATCAACAGGACTCAACAAGAGATGAAGGCAATGAGACTGAAGACAACAGCATGAATAAATTAAGAAGGAAGAAAGTCACTAAACCACATGTTTGTTCAACTGAAGTGGGAGAAATGGATATGTCCAATTCAAATGGTATCTAACTACTCTGAGCCCTCAGAAATGGTGTGGTCAATGGCAATCTCCATTTGGTCTTTCTTTTCCTAAAACATCTTCATTTCTTTTTTGGGAGAAGCAAAAGGACAAATAAAATTTATTCCTATATAGGTGTCATAAAAGATGGCAAATATAAGCTTACAATGTGAATATATAAAAATAACCAATCAAAATATTTACAATGTAAAGAGGGTTAGGATTAGGATGATAGTAGTAGAAAAAAAAAAAAGAACAAAACAGAGGAATGTGTGAGTAGGAAGAGAGACAGTTTTCTGCTCTGAAAATGAATAAAAAATCATTACAGAGGATTTGAGGGGCCATAAGAATGGTATGGAAGGTGTTTTCATAACACATTTTGGAACTCCAACTAGATCTCAACAGATTTGAGACACTGCTAAAACTAGAAGTTAATTTGGACAATAGGCTCAATCCTAGGAATCACTGTGTCCCCAGGAATTCCCAGCATATGATGATAATAAAAAGAAGTCAGATTTTAGTAGAATTTATCTATCTATCTATCTATCTATCTATCTATCTATCTATCTATCTATCGACAGAGTCTCACTCTGTCACCCAGGCTGGAGTGCAGTGGCATGATCGTGGCTCACTGCAATCTCTGTCTCCCAGGCTCAAGCGATCCTCCTGCCTCAGTCTCCTGGGTAGATGGGATTACAGGGCGTGCCACCACGCCAGGCTAATTTTTTGTATTTTTAGTAGAGATGGGGTTTCACCATGTTGGCTGGTCTGGTCTCAAACTCCTGATGTCAAATGATCCACCTGCCTCAGCCTCCCAAAATGCTGGGATTACAGGCTACAGACATGAGCCACCGCACCTGGCCTGTTTTAAAATTCTCTACAAGCAATGCACTTTCTTGGCCAGTGACTAGGGTAGACCACTCCCATTGCCCCTCATTTAATATGTCACTGCTAGAAATATACTATTTTCTCAAGTATTCCTCTCCATATTATATTAAAAGACAGCTGAAAACAGTGGGAACATATTTTAACATTTTTCCTTATTACTACAGAGAGGATCAGAAACCAAATGGTATGCCACAAATTAGGGAATACAAGCAAGCCCATCATGGGACCTGGCTCTGATGAGTCTCATCTGTCACATCATGACAAGGACTCTCAGGATGAAACAACAGTGATAACACCATTGCCCCCCAGAACAACAACCAGTGTTCCTGGAGGTGAATTTAACCCAAACTCTGGTAAGGATTTACTGGTAAGGATTCTGGAACAAACTGGTATGTGGTTCTAGCCACTAGCCCTAAGTTTGTATTTGAATTAGAGAGAATGTAATGTTGGTTGAGGAATACTAGCCTGGAAGTCAGAACACTTACAAAGATTTTTATACCTATCTTTTATAAAATGCTTTGTAGTTTTCTTTGCCCTTTAGGCTGTTCATCTGGAAAATAGCGGGGTTGCAATGGAAGATGTCTTGCCTTTTCTAAAAGTAAAATCCTATTATTCTAAGTTTCTGGCTGATTGATAGTGATGTAACTATTTTGGTACATGAGTGTATTGATTAAAACTCACTTGAATGAAAATGCTGGAAATTAGTTATAAAAGGAAATCTAAAAGCCAGGCACAGTGGCTTACACCTGTAATCCCAGCACTTTGGGAGGCTGAGGTGGGGAGATGACTTGAGAACTGGAATTCGAGACCAGCCTGGGCAACATAGGCAGACCCCGTTTCTACACAATAAAAAAATTAGCTGTGTGTGTGGGCACATGCCTGTGGTCCTAGCTACTTAAGGAAATGAGGTAGGAGGATCATTTGAGCCCAGGAGGTTGAAGCTACAGTGAGTTGTGATTGTGCTACTGCATTCCAGCCAGGGTAACAGAGAGAGGCCCTACCCCCCTACCCGCCTCAGAAAAAAGGAAATCTCTAATGACAGGGTTAAACATACAAGATTTGGAAAGATGAGAATATACCAGAGTGGGAAGTTAGAGGGATGGTGTCTACCATGTTACCCTCACTTCTGACACAAATTACAAGTTTTGGGATTCCCCAAGTTAACCTTAGTTTAGATAATTTGCTGGAAGGACTCACTGAACTCACTGAAAGCTGTTATATTCAAGGTTATGGTTTATTACACTACAAGGATACAGATTAAGATCTGCCATGGGCAGTCCAGGCAAGTTCTAAGCACAGAATGTTCACTTGTTCTTTGTTCACTTGTCCTTCCTTAGTGGAGACACGGACAGACAGCACTATTCTCTTGGCAATGACATGAGGAATATTGCCAACCAGGGAAGCTCACTGGAGTCTTGGTGTCCAGAGTCTTTACTGGGGCTTCATGGTTAACTGGGCATTTGGCTGACCTCACTCTCCAGCCCCTTTGGGGATCAAGCAGTTACTGCATGACTTGAAGTCACCACTATAAATAACATTGTTAGAGTTTCTGGCGTGGCCTAGAACCTCTTGGTAAACAAAGATACTCTTGTCAGGCAAGACATTCTAACTGTTTGGAAGGGACCAAGGGCAGAGACCACAGCTCTCATTATGTATTTGGGCAACCCTGTCATTATGTATTTGGGCAAGGTTAAATCCTTTAGTACACACAGGGCCTGAGGAGGAGCTACAACCTGGAAAATAAACACTATCAGAATTCTATATGTATTAGTCTTCTATTACCACCATAACAAATTACCACAAACTTACTATCTTTTTGAAAATACAAGTGTACTATCTCACGGTTTTGTATGTTAGAAGTCTAGGTTGGTTCATCTGGTTTCCTTGTTTCAGGCTTTCCAAGGCTGAAGTCAAGGTATTGCCATCTGGGTTCTTATCTAGAGACTCCAGGGAACAGTACATTTACAAGTTCATTCAGATTGTTGAGAGAATCCAGTTCTTTGTGACTGTAGAATTGAGGTTCTTGTGTCCTGGCTGGCTGTCAGCTGGGGTGACCCTTATCTCCCAGAAGCCTCTCTCTGTGTGTGTGTGTTTTTTTTTAATCTCAGAGATAGCAATGTCTCAAATCCTTCTCATGTTTAGAACTTCTCTGAATTCCCCTTCTTCCACATCCCCTTTCTGCCTTCAGCTGGAGAAAGCCATCTAATTTCAAGGGCTTACATGGATAATCCAAGATAATATCCCTATTTTAAAGTCCATAACCTTAATTACATTTGCAAAGTCCCTTTTTTCATGCAATTTAACATATTCACATGTTCCAGAGATTAGGTATGGTAGGAATTTTCGTAGGGCTATTCTGCCTACTGATACCAGGAGGAGGCAGGGAAATACTGTGTAGAAGAGGGCAGTTCCCCGGCAAAGGCCCCACCCTCAAGCCTGGAAACCCATGGCCCTGAATAGGAACAGGCATTTCTGTTTTTATTCCAAAATGTTGCCTTTTCCAAGACCACTCTGGCCCACCATATCCCTATCCTATGCCCATATAAACCCCAAGTTCCACTGACAGAGCAGCAGAACAGCATGGCAGAGAAGGAGCATCTGAAAGTGGAGAGGAGTTTAGCTGGGGACGGTCAGAGAGGAGATCCATCGCGGGACAGCCAAACTCCAGGGGAAAATCGTATTCCCACTCCATCCCATTTCCTGCTCCCCAACCATCCCACTGAGAGCCACCTCCATCACTCAATAAAATCCCTACATTCGCCATCCTTTTAGTCCATGTGACCTGATTCTTCCTGGACTCCGGACGAGGAGCCGGGTACCTAGAGAATAGGGTGTAAAAGACTGTTACCCGGACTTTCCACTGAGCTGGTTAACACTTAGTCGTCCGTGGATGGCAGAGCTAAAAGGGCATGGTAACACCCCTAAACACTGCCATAGGGTCGCAACCCGAAAGTGCTCACCTTGCCTCACCTGCACGTTCCCCCCTCCCATAAGTGGTTTGAGTGCAATGGCCAAGTAAATGAGTCATGTCCCTGTTGCAAGCCCCGCGAGGAGGTCAGGGAACTCGACCATCTCACTACCCCATCTCTCATAACTGAATTTCTCTCTACTTTGGCTTTATGAATTTCTCCAAAGTGAAGAGCATGAGCACTACCAACCTCTGAACATCAGGCAGCTATTGATACAAATGCCCACAGGGGCCAGACAGTTAATACAAAAGATGGGCTGGTATAAGAACATAGGGAGTGGTTCTGGTCATGAGTAAACTGGAGCAGAGAGCAACAAACTATGGCCCAAAGGCCAAATTCAGCTTGCTGGTCAGTTTTTCTAAGTAATGTTTACAAATTGTTTATAGCTGCTTTTGTGCTGAAATGACATTGTGCTAAATGAGTAGCTGCAACGAATACCATATGGCCTACATGGTTTCAAATATTTACTATCTGTTCCTTTACAGAAAATGTTTGCCACCCCGTTAAGTAGAGGTTGCCTGCCCATCTAGACTACCTCAGAGTTCCAACCAGTTGTTGCTGTGGAGAAATACCTACCCAGGGTTGCCAGATCTAGTTTCAAAATAAATTTGAATTCAAGATTTTTACATAAAATTTTCTAATAGTGAAGTGCTGTCCACTATTTCAAAAAAGTTTCTGAACACTGGGAAAACTAATCAGATAACATCTGCTGGCCACACTGGCTCCTCCAGAGCTTATGGTCATTGTTTTATATATTCTAGTTTTAGCTGCAAAAGAGAGATGGATTTACCATTTCTTTGTCTTAAGCCAGAAATCTGGAGAAAGATCTTGTGTCATGAGCTCTCTTTGCACTGTCAGTTGTGACTTAGGGCATGGGTACCGTTACTAACTCAACTTCTTTAGCTCAGAAGCTCCCTTTTTGGCCCAGAGTGTATTAAGTTCTCTATAGCCCCTCAGTACCAAAAATTTGAAACACAAACCAATACATATACATAATTAAAAAATAGATTTAAAAATAAACCCCAAAAATAAGTGTAAGGAATTTTGATATGGTATTTCTTCTTTGGAATAACTTCTCTGAGTTTTTCCAAAAATAATACTTTGGTTTTTTCAAAGAAAAGCCCCCTTTCCCTCCCACTTTTTATTGTATTGCTTTTTTTCCCCACTTTGTACCTGGTTATTCTTCCATCTGGGCTTTCCAACAATGTCTGCGCTAATATGATGTGGCCAGAAGGTAGCACAAACAGGGTGACTCTCACCATAGCCACAATGATGAAAGACGGCTGGACCTTGAAACAGCATGGTACATTATACTAGGTGTGCAATAAGCTGAATGTATTCCAGGGTTTTCTCTCAAATGCACTTTTCCCTTTCTTTGAATTGGTGTTTCTGAAGCCCAAACGTCTCTTCAATCTCCCTTTTATAAGTGACCGCGGCTTGTTCTGTATAACTGATATATGTCCTCATTGTCACTGAACACGGACAAAATTTCTCCAAGGCCTACTAGTTGCTATAGAGCTTTGACTTTTTTTAAAAAAATGTTTTCTTATTTTTTTTCCCTAAACAGGCACAGCACTGAAACATCTTCTATAAAAACACATTGATTTAATTTATTAATCCCTTGATGGAATAGAAAAGAAGAAAATCTCCCAGGAACCACACTGTAGGAAAAACAAATGAGCTCCTGAACTGGCAATTATCTGCCAGCTATTCATCTTGTGCAACTGGGAAAGGCTGACCAAAAGGTTTAATTGTAAATAACAAGTATGATTTACTGAAGAAAAATTCAGACAATGATGCAGCAAGATCTGTTGATGCCTTGAAAATGAAATGGGATTGGATAGGTTTCTCATATTTGGTGAAAGAATTAAACTTTTAAATGAAAAAGAGATACTTAGGGTATATACTAAAATATATGATGACAACTTTTACTTATCAATTAGACAAGGTCAAATCACACAGGATGTATTCATTCATTCACTCACTCACTTATTTAAAAAAATATTTGTCAAATGGCTATGAGAAGCATATACTGCTACAAGTACCAAGAAAACAGCAGCAGGTAAAACTAAGCCTTGGCTCTCAAGGAGCTGATAGGCAATGGGGGATGACAGGAACATGTGAGTATACAGTGTGGCAGGTGCCAATAAGGACACTGAAGATAATAGAAACAGAATGATACACTGTTATGTGTTGAATGGTGTTTCTCCAAAATGGTTAAAATGATTTCCTAACCTTCGGTACCTGATAATGTGGCTGAATTTGGAGGTACACTCTTTAAAGGGGTAATTAAGGTTAAATGAGGTCAGCAGGGTGACCCCTAATTCAGTATGATTCATGTCCTCCTAAGAGGAAGAGATTAGGTCACAGACATGCACAGACAAAAGAACATGTGAAGGTGCTGGAAGAAGATGGCTGTCTATTAGCCAAGGGGAGAGAGACGTTAGAAGAAGCAATCCTGCTGACACCTTTGGTCTCCGACCTCTAGCCTTCAGAACTATGAGAAAATAAATTTCTGTTTAAGCCGCCTTCTGCGGCATTTGTCATAGTAGCTTTAGCAAACTAATACATGTACTCTACTCACTGTCCAGTCACACAGCAACTTGGAGACTTCAAAATGAATCAAGGGTTAGAGCTGTCTATGTTGTGATCAAGTCTCATACAATTAATACTTCAGGTGATTATGGTTTTGTTTTGTTCTTTTTTCAGCCCTTTTACTGTGTGAACTTATCCCACCCTTGCATTTGATGGCATGTTTATTATCTATACCTGCCCCACTTTATAATATAAAGTTCTATGAGGGTAGGGCTCTTCCTGGCTGATTCCCAGATACATGTTCAGTATGAATAGTATGTGATGATGAAAAATATCTATGTTGAGTGAATGAATATTATTATTATTTTTATTGATTATTTTTGTTTTTTGAGATGGAGTCTCACTCTGTCACCCAGGCTGGAGTACAATGGCACCATCTCAGCTCACTGCAACTTCCGCCTCCTGGACTCAAGAGATTCTCCTGCCTCAGCCTCCTGAGTAACTGGGATTACAGGCAAATGCCACCGCCTGGCTATTTAAAAAAAAATTTTTTTTTATTTTTATAGATATGGGGTTTCACCATGTTGGTCAGGCTGGCCTTGAACTCCTGACTTCGTGATCCACCCGCCTCAGCCCCCCAAAGTGCTGGGATTACAGGTTTGAGCCACCGTGCCCAGCCAAATATTATTCTTATTTTAAAATAATATGTATTCATTGTAGAAAGTTTAGGAGACACAGATAAAGCAAAAAGCTAGTAAGACTACCTGTTATCCTATTACTGGTGAACCAATAAAATTACCTTTCTCCTTTTATAAGGGATGTCTTCTTTATAGCTTATGTATAATTGCTTATTATGTTTAGAATATTCATTATCTAAAAATTTCCATATTATTATTATTAATTTTTAAGACAGTCTCTCTTTGTTGTCCAGGCTGGAGTGCAGTGGTGCGATCTTGGCTCACTGCAACCTCCACCTCCCAGGCTCAAGCAATTCTTGTGTTTCAGCCTCCTGAGTAGCTGGGACTACGGGAGCACAACACCACACCCAGCACGTTTTTGTATTTTTAGTAAAGATAGGGTTTTGCCATGTTGCCTAGGCTGGTCTTGAACTCCTGGCCCCAAGTGATCTGCCCACCTCAACCTGCCAAAGTGCTGGTATTACAGGAGTGAGCCACCGCGCCTGACCCAAATTTCCATATTTTAAAATGCCTATAAATTTTGCTTTAAGCAGCATTATTTATCTTGGGCTGAATACCTAATATTTCAGAGTAGGTTGGGAATACGGCAAGTGTTAATTTAGCATGAAACACTTTAATTGCTACAGTTTGTTTGTTTTAAATGGAAGGTAGTTATAAAGCCTCTAGAGTTTCAGAGTAGCCAAATGTATCAGTGATAACACATTATCACTAATGTATTTGCATATATGGAACCAGTAATTTGTTTTTCCCATGCTTCATGTACTTAAAATCTACTTAATCTATGTTTCTAAACTGTCAATCTTTATGCTTAGTTTTAAAGCCTAATTATATCTTGCAAAAGAATACTCAGGTATCTCTTTAGAATTATAGCTGCTCAACATGAATGATGTGACAGATTGATGAGTGTTTGGTTGAAGACTTGATCATGATACCATTTACTAGGGCTAGAGTACTTGTACTCACTTTATGCATTTAAGTAGCACTTATATGGTGCTTACTGTCTGCCAGTAACTGTTAATAACCTGCTTAATCCTCCTGAAAAGCCTGTGAAGTAGGTCATATGTTACTGATGAGAAATTCAAGGCAGAAAGAGGATAAGATTGTTGCTAGGGCAAAGGTAGGATTGGAATGGAGGTGGATGGGCTTCAGTGTTTTGTGCTAACCCAAACTACACTCTGCTGCCTCTCCTAAAAGTTCTGACAGCAACTAACATTTATAATGTGTACTATTTGCCTGATAATTCTATGTGCTATAGACATACTAATTTAATTTGTGGTAATAAACCATCCAGCATGAATCAAAACTCTGCACTCTAGTTTCAGTTCCACAGTGAACTGATAGTGTGGTTTGGAGTAACTCATTGTGCCACTCTGGGACTCAAGCTAACGAGTTGGTTAGATTAAATGATTTATCTCCAAAGTTCTCTTCTAGCTCTGAAGTTGGAATTTGCACACTATCTTAAAAGTCTTGAAAAGAACATTTTTTATGTTTCTAATTTTAAATTGAGTACGCAGTCCAGATTTCTCATCTCCTACACTCTCATTCTTAAAAAAAAAAAAAAAAAAAGACATGTTTGTTTGCTTATTTAAGCAAGTTTTAAATTTGACAGAAATGTGTAGACTTCTTAGAGTTAGATGCCATTAAAAAGATATAAAGCCCTTTGGGTAAAAAACTCCCAGAATGAGACAAAACCCCAGAAAATAAAACCAAATTCACTTTTAATCACATAGAAATTTAAGTTTAGAAATTAACAGTTAGTTCAAGAAGCCCAAATATGTTCAATAATAGTCACCTACAGACAGGCTTTTATGGTCCCTTTTTTGCTGTGAACTTATGCAAATATGTTCTAATTTCCATAAGCAAAAGGATTTTCAGTAAGTATCTACATATGATTTCGCTATATCCTTATGCAAATAATGTCAATTTTGACCTTGTCCTAACTGATAAATGATCTCAGGTTGTTTAGACACAATATTCTTGGGAAGATGGTAAGGGCAGAATAAGAAAGGTAAGAGATCCAACTCTAAGCCAGTGACATGATGAATATTAATGTTTTTATTAATAATATTGACTAATTCACTACTCTGTAATCTCCTTTTGCTTCTCAGTCCATCATGATCTCCTGAGTTAGAATCTATTTTTTTTAATTTTGCAGATTGCATGAGGGACAGCAGTCAAATTCTGGCCCCACCTCAACTCTCTTCTAGAATGAAACACATTAGACAAGCCATGGCCAAAAATCGCCTCCAGTTTGTACGATTTGAAGCAACAGACCTCCATGGCGTGTCCAGGTCTAAGACTATCCCTGCACACTTTTTTCAAGTGAGTTTAACACACAGTTGTGACTGAATGTAATTTCATGACCATTAGCAGGCAAATGGTTCTTATTACTGTTTCTTATTTTCTTGTAATCTATACAGCAATTCAAGCTGAAAATCAATAACTTATTTTGTTTCTTCCCTTTTTCCTCCCAAACATGTTATTGCTCCCCAAGGAGCTAAACGTGTACTCTTGGCTCTCAAACAGCAATTTCTTTACCCAATAGAAATACAAAACTAATTAAGACTGGTAAATTTAGTCCTTCTGCCTTGAATAATTTTGCTCTACAGAATTATTTTTCTCCCTTACTGCAATTATGAAGATTGTATTTTATTTGACACAAGAAAATTGCAACAGAAGACCCAAGAGCAAACATAAAGAGGAAAAAATGATTAAATAGAAATAATTTGCTAGATAAAAAGCATATTCCTTTCGGCTCCAAATTCGGATAAGAAAATAGTCCATTGTTGTTGGATGACTTAATGAATATTATTAAATTCCCGAAAATGATGATATCAACAGATACTGTGTTTTTGTTGTTTTGAGACTTCCTTAATTTTTTGTATCAGTTTTTGTCATGTGTTTATTTTGATGACTGAGTTATTGTGTTAATTAAATATCAAATTTCTTAGCAAAGGACATCAGGTCGGTACTATTTAAGAAAGTGTGAAAGTTAAGCATCCTCTAGGTTTAACTATTTTAAAATATTATAATTTTATCACATTAATATCAGATTCTAATTGTTATATTTGCTTCATGTTGGGAAAAACTGGACATCTTCAAAAACACTTTTTAAAGAATTCTAACAGATTCAAAATTGTTTCTTAAGGAATTATTTGGAGCTGCTTGCAGATATTGTTTCCTCTTCATCCAGGCAAGAATATATGTTGTTTAATTTTTACAAAAAATGTGGATTTTTTTGTGGACAGGCCCAGAATATAATTCAAATGAATCTCTTCCAATCATAAGGAAAAGTAACTGGCACTTTAAGTACTTGCCAGAGACCTCAATATAAAACTGTTTGCTATTCAGTTTTCATCAAATTTTAATCATTTATTTTACTAATGGCACCTACAAGTCCATATATAGGACATTACTCTAGTTTCTCAGTGGAATCCTTTTACAAAAATAAAACAATATGTTGCTTATACTTGCTAAGGATTGATATAATTGACACAGAGAGGAAAATTCTGCATACTTTTTTTATCCAACTGTTACTGAAAATATTTTTCACTATTTTGTTCAATATCCCACATATAAAAAACACTTTTTTTTCTAGAGTTTAGCTAGAGAAAAAGTTTGTCTATCATGGGAATTTTAATGTAACTCATTATACAGCGTCTCAATGGCTATATTTATTCTTAGTCCCAGTTTCCTAATAACTAACTTCACTATTTCATTACCTCATTATTACTATTTTGTTCTCATTTAATGATCATAGAGTATCGATGTTTTTTTAAGAAGCCACTTTAAATTCATTTTTGAAACTTGTGAAGGTATAACAATGAGTATTAGCACAATGAATATTTGTAATTTAAGACAAAATAATTTATTTTGGAAAATTTGCTGTGAATAGACAGTAAAAATAGGTTTAAGAAGCCGGGCGCGGTGGCTCATGCCTGTAATCCTAGCACTTTGGGATGCTGAGGTGGGCAGATCACCTGAGGTCAGGAGTTTGAGACCAGCCTGACCAACATGGTAAAACCCCGTCTCTACTAAAAATACAAAAATTAGCTGGGTCTGATGACAGGGGCCTGTAATCCAGTTACTTGGGAGGCTGAGGCAGGAGAATCACTTGAACCTGGAAGGCAGAGGTTGCAGTAAGCCGAGATCACGCCATTGCACTCCAGCCTGGGCAAAAAGAGTGAAAGTACATCTCCAGAAAAAAAGAAAAAAACAGATTCATCTGTGCAAAGTAACCTAAATATCGTGTGTGTGTGTGTGCGTGTGTGTGTGTACTTTATTCCATCTCAAAAAAAAAAAATTAATTTGTGCAAAGTAACCTAAATATTGCATGTGTGTGTGGTGTTTAAGGTTTAAACACCTTACAACCAACTTATATTATCTCTGTTCTATCAAAAGTGTTGATTTTTATTTAAATTATATGCAAATAATGTAGGCTCTTTCTATATTTGATCTAGCCAAAACATGATACATTGCTATAGACTCGTAACTAATTCTTGGCTTATTTCAAAAGATAACCTTCACTATGGTCCAAGTTTCATTTTTGATAAGGATTTAAGTTATTCTGCAAACATTTTATTGAGCCCATAGTGATCTATATTGAAGATGAAGTTGTTCCAGTGCTTTATATCTATAAACACTGCTTCAGAAAATATATCGTCATGAATATATTCATGTATATTCATATACTTCCCGTAACTAATAGAGAGTAGTTTGCATTCTCTATGTCCAAGAAAAGAATAAAGCAAATTACAGTGCCAGAAGAGTGTTCAAAAAAATATGGATTAAGTAATCTAAAGAATAAAGTGCGACTTTTTACTATTTTTTGAGTTCATGAAGGACTATTGGAGTGAAATGGCAACCAGCTGTTCTCCACTACTCACAGCCAAGTGAATACAAACACAGATTTAAATTGCAGGAACTCATAGAAGTCTCATGAATAAAATATATTATTTCTCATTTTAGTTATGTAAAGAACTAATATACGGAATTTCAAACTAAAAAACTGACAAGCAGGGAAATGACATTATTGCTTATAGTGAAAATATGAATTAAAGGATTCCATGCTATAGTATTCAAATATTCTACAGTATGTGTGCGTGTGTGTGTGTGTGCATAAAGTTTACATGTACAGGTCTATGAGTGTGTTGGAAAATTAGGTAGGCACCAAATAGTGCTTGGCTCACTCAACTTTATTATTGGTGAAAGTAGACTTGGATCAGTTCAGTCAAACAGCATTCAAAAATGTGTGTAGAGATGGTGGAAAGTGAAGGAGGCAGTGGTTCATGGGCAAATGCAGAAGAGTGAACCAGTAAATCACTTTGGCTAATACCAGCCCCTCTTTGATAGCCATGCTTCTTGGATTCTGGAGGTAACATAAAAAATAGTCTGGCTTCCTTCCACCATGTGAGGACACACAAGAAGCAGCCATATACGAACCAGAAAGCAGCCCTCACCAGACACCATATCAGCTGTTACCTTCATCTTGTACTTTTCAGTCTCCAGAACTAAAGAGGAATAAGTTTCTGTTGTTTATAAGGGGAAAAAAGAGAAAGAAAGGGAAAGAAAGGAAAGGAAAGCATCTGGCTTACAGATTGCTAGGTGGTTTTATTAACCTCATGATCTTCACTGACTTCATGGGAACCAACCTTTTATACTCAGTGATTTTTCTCCATCTATTAAAGTAACCTTCAACCTTGTTGATATATCTAATACATAATTTCCAGAAATTGTTTTATGCGTCTGCTCAGCTTAATAACCTTATCGCTTCCCTGTTGCCTGGCACAGAGAAAAAGTTAAATAAATGACTAAATTCACTGAAACCTAGAAATAAACGACTAGAAAGTACCTTAGCCGTCGTCTAGTCTAAAACGTGTTTTGCCGATATGGAAGCTGAGGCACATAACCCAGTGACTTGCCAAAATTCACAGAAGCAATTAATGAAAGAGCTAGGATAAGAAGGCAGATCTGTTGACAACCAGTTCATGCTGACTTGAAGGTTACATTTTGGAAGCTCTAACTTTGGAGTTACAGGTCCACATTCACAGACAAGGGTTCTGGGACTCTGAGACAGTGAGGTTTTTAATTCTTAAATGGGTTGTAAAAGTGAATAAAGAGAGGAATGCAGCTGTCAGCGTCCTGGCTCCCCTCGTGTTAGGACAAATGTGCTGTGTGCCACAGTATTGACCATAGTCTGCAATTTGAGAAGGATTGAGAATTGTTTACTGTAGACTTTTGAGGGTCAGTTAACTCAGGGTTACAATAAAATAAGCAAAAATAAAGCCTTATCTGAAGAATTAACAACTGTACTATAAAATAAAAAGTGCTTCAGGAAGTACTTTTGATGATGATAATTTCAAATAATTCCATAAGGCTTTACATTTATTTTTTGCTATAACGGATTTTCTTTATCATTATATCTTTTATTTATAACTGCTATTTTGAGATCTAAGACCATTTAAGGCCTTCAAGGCTTAAAACATCGCATTGTTTGGGGTTTTTTTTTTTTTTTTCTTTTTTTTTTTTTTGAGACGGAGTCTGCTCTGTCGCCCAGGCTGGAGTGCAGTGGCCGGATCTCAGCCCACTGCAAGCTCCGCCTCCCGGGTTTACGCCATTCTCCTGCCTCAGCCTCCTGAGTAGCTGGGACTACAGGCGCCCGCCACCTCGGCCGGCTAGTTTTTTGTATTTTTTAGTAGAGACGGGGTTTCACCGGGTTAGCCAGGATGGTCTCGATCTCCTGACCTCGTGATCCGCCCGTCTCGGCCTCCCAAAGTGCTGGGATTACAGGCTTGAGCCACTGCGCCCGGCCCTGTTTGGGGGTTTTATTTTAAAATATTTGACATTTATCTGATACCAAGTTAGTGTTAACCAACAAATGTTAAACATATATATATATATATATATATATATATATATATATTTTTTTTTTTTTTTTTTTTCATTAGCAAAGCTTTTTCTCCCCCAACCCTTTTGTTTGTTTTCAAAACCTAATTTCTTCATTTTTTTTCCTTCTTTAGGAGAAAGTGAGCCATGGAGTTTGCATGCCCCGAGGTTATCTTGAAGTGATACCGAATCCTAAGGACAGTGAAATGAATCGCATAAGAGCCACATGTTTTAATAGTGACATAGTCCTAATGCCAGAGATATCAACCTTTAGAGTTTTACCATGGGCTGATAGAACTGCAAGAGTGATATGTGATACCTTCACTGTGACTGGTGAGCCTCTTTTGACTTCCCCAAGGTACATTGCAAAGAGGCAGCTGAGCCAGCTGCAGGCCTCTGGCTTTTCCCTACTTTCTGCTTTCATCTGTGATTTTTGCATTTTTGGTGTGCCTGAATTTCTAAATTCAAAGACTATATCATTTCCTGCTTCAACATTTTTAAATAACCATGATCAGCCCTTCATGCAGGAACTTGTTGATGGCTTGTATCACACTGGAGCAAATGTCGAGAGTTTTTCCTCCTCTACCAGGCCTGGTCAGATGGAAATCTGTTTCCTGCCTGAATTTGGCATTAGCTCAGCTGATAATGCATTTACCCTCAGAACAGGTGTCAAAGAAGTGGCAAGGAAATATAATTACATTTCCAGCTTCTTCATTGAGACTGGATTTTGTAATTCAGGGACTTTGTCTCATAGTCTCTGGGATGTCGATAGGAAGAAGAACATGTTTTGCAGCACTTCTGGAACTGAGCAGCTGACGATCACTGGGAAAAAATGGTTGGCAGGACTCTTGAAGCACTCTGCTGCACTCAGCTGCCTGACGGCGCCTACTGTTAGCTGCCGAAAGCGTTATTCCAAGGACAGTAAAGACCTGAAGGAGAGTGTGCCTACAACGTGGGGATACAATGACAACAGCTGTATATTTAATATCAAGTGTCATGGAGAGAAAGGCACCCGGATAGAAAATAAGCTAGGCTCAGCAACAGCAAACCCTTACTTGGTGCTGGCTGCAACTGTTGCTGCAGGCTTAGATGGACTTCATAGCAGTAATGAGGACTTGGCTGGTCCAGATGAGAGCACAGACTTTTACCAAGCGGAAACTTCTGAGATCCCTTTAAAACTGGAAGATGCCCTTGTGGCACTGGAAGAAGATCAATGTCTGAGGCAGGCTCTAGGAGAAACTTTTATTCGATATTTTGTTGCCATGAAGAAATATGAGTTGGAGAATGAAGAAATAGCTGCAGAGAGAAATAAATTCTTAGAGTATTTTATTTAGAATAGAACTCATAACTACTCCTTTAGAGATTATTGTTACTTAATCTACCAAAACAAAGACTGAACTTTTGTAATTAACAACAGTAACAATAACAAGACTACGAATGCTTTTGACTTTTTTTTTTTTTTTTTTCCCTCCATGGAATATTTGACAGATGAAGTAGGACTGCTGAGAAGATTCTGATAACAGAAACAAACAACAAAGTCATGGTGAAGCTACAATATGCAAACTTACCAGATCTTGTCAGTTAGTCATTTCCTATGTGTATGTTGACCTGGATAGGAATATCCAATTTTGGGGGGCAATAAATATATTTGCACATTAAAAAAAAAAAGACTTAAGCATTAGAAAGCAAATTTAAATGACTAAAAAAGAAAAAAAATAAAAGGAGGAAAAATTTTAATGGTACACATAGGTTATGACTTCCAGGGAGACAAATATACTAATATAGTCTTGCTAATCAAATAATATTGTGAATCTAGGTTGTGTGCATCATTATGGTCTTTCTAAACAAGTTAAATAAACTTTTGCCAAAATAATGACAGGTAGGAAGTTTTCCCCTAAGTCGCTTCTCTTTTCACCCTTTTCCACTAGCTCCTGGAAAGCTTATGAATTTCAAGGTTATAATGTCCTCAAGAAACAAATCCCTAAGGAATAGAATTGGAGCTGGGAACAACGAGGTCAGATTTTAAAAGTAGTTAAAGCCTTTCTTTAAACAATGCCTCATATAGAAGTTTGATACATAAAGTATAGATAGAAAGAAGTTTGTGTGTGAGGGTAGGCGGGCTCTGTCTACTCTGCTTCACTTTGAAACTAGATGTCCCTCTGAAACCTCTCGCGCTCTGTGGAGTGTGAGAACAACTTCCTGGCTAGCCGGGGCTATGTTTGGAGTTTAAGTTTGTTATTCAAATTACTAAATCTGCTGCTCACAGAGCTTGGTACCTCCCCAGAGAATATTACATGTTCCAGGCCTTTGTTTGAATGAGATAATATTGTAACTATCACTAAAGTTTAGCTTCTTTTGGGAGGAAGTCCAAAATCCACTTACTAGCAAATGAAAATGTTGTTCTACTGCTTAGGATCAAACAGCAGATTTTATGTTCAATTAAAACTGACTGTGGTTTCAATTTAGATAGCAAACACACAAGGAGAGGATTAGAATTTGGCTCAGATCCTCTTATTAAAATTCTTAGTACTCAGTAGCTTAAATAGTGAAAGTCAGTCTATCCTTCACTAATTACTCCCTTCTTTTCTCCACACAAAAAAGAAGTGTGTTTGGATACATAAGAAGAAAGTTCCCAGCACTTTGGGAGGCCAAGGCGGGAGGATTGCTTGAGGCCAGGAGTTTGAGTCCAGCCTGGACCACATAGAGAACCCATTTCTAAAAAACAAAAACAAAAACAAAAAAACCCTGGCGTGGTGGCATGTGCCTGTAGTCCCAGCTAATTGGGAGGTGGAGAAGGGAGGATCGCTTGAGCCTCAGAGTTGGAGGCTGCAGTGAGCCATGATCACACCACTGCACTACATCTTGGGTGACAGAGTGAAACACTGTCTTAAAAAAAAGGAAAAGAATAAAATTCATGGATGCATATGGGGTAGAGAAAAAGATAGTGTAGGGTAGGTGGGGGAAGGAAAGGAATCTGTCCTGAAACCGCCAAAATGAAATCCCACACATTACATCATGTGAGGGATAAGGAAGACTCTTATGCCAATTTTCTAGTTGTCTACCTATATTCATTTCCCCCCTGTTCTCAGTAATAAAACCTCAATATGTTCATTGAAAGCAATGAAAAATGAAATATTTCTGAGTCTTCATTAAGGTTGGATGTGGTCATGTTATTAGGTTCAGTGCAAAGAGGTGAAAATAGAAGTGTTGTATGTAAGTTCTTTAGGACATTTTCTTTTCTTTTCTTGTATTTTTTTTTTTTTTCGAGATGGAGTCTCGCTTTGTCACCCAGGCTGAAGTGCAGTGGTGGGTCCTGGCTCACTGCAACCTCTGCCCCCTGGGTTCAAGCAATTCTTCTGCCTCAGCCTCCCAAGTGGCTGGGATCACAGGTGCCTGCTACCATGCCTGGCCTTTTAGTAGAGATGGGGTTTCACCATGTTGGCCAGTCTGGTCTTGCACTCCTGAACTCAGGTGAACAGCCCGCCTTCGCCTCCCAAAGTGCTAGGATTACAAGTGTGAGCCATCATGCCCTACCACACTTTAGGACATTTTTCTAAGTGACGGACGCTGTGTACTCTGCCTTTTCTCTCTCTAGCTACTTTCACCCTTCCTGCTGACTGGCCTACAGATAATGTGGCTAGGATAATGTCCTTGGGAAGGAAGGTTTGCTCCACAAGGTGCAGTAATAAGGTGGAACCTCTGCTTTGTAGAGCAGTTTGACTTGCCTACATCCAGACATTTACCTGAGAGAGAACCAAACTTCTATCTTCTTTAAGCCACAATGGTTTTGATTCTTTGTTAGTTGCAATGAAATTTTTCTCTTTTACATGTGTGTTTTGAATGTGTGTGTGTGTGTGTGTGTGTGCGCGCATGCGTGCATATGAGTGGGGAATTTGAGGGATTTGGGGATGAAAGAATAAAGGTATAAGAACCAGTGAAAGACCACTTCCTCAATATTCCCATTTCTAAAGAGGATAATCCCACTTCTAAAGAGGATAATCTGAGTTAATCAAAGGGATCCACACATGCAAAAAATGGGATTGGCTCTAACCTATCCCTATAAAGTGGCATATCCCTTTATAGTCCATAGGCCTTAATGAAACATGTCTAATGCATTGACTTCATTTTACCATAATGAGTAAAAATGCTGTAAAAAGTCTGTTAATCACAGTATTTGAAGCCCTTTTTTCCCCTTTCACATTAATAGCATAACTTAAAAACACAGTACTCAGGATGCTATGTGAAGACATTATATATATTATCTTCAGAATTAAGTGTACAGTAGTGAGTCAACAGAAAATATTCAGCCATAGATTACAAATCAGTTGATAACGTAAGTTGGTGTGGCAGTCTCCACCAAGATTTCAGTCAGGTGTGTGCTGATGTATATTCTTGTTCTTTAAGGCAACCCGAAAAGAGGCATTGGCCAACAGAGTTCAGGGCCAAAGACAAATTGGGGTAGGTACGTGTAAAAATCAGTTACCTATTTTTCTATTTCTTTCATCTGTTCATAGGCTTTCTATTGTTGAAGGGACTTTGTGCCGATGCTTCTACCTTCTTGGTCTGGGTTAAGAGGGTCAGACATTCATTCAGCAGCACTTATTGAGCACCATTTGTGTGCTAGGCCTTTTGCTGGGAGACATTATACTAGGGGAGACCAAAACAAAGATGAGCAGACAGTGAAAGAGTTTTGGATCTGGGTATCTTAAGCAGAACAGAAATAATTTTTTTTGGAGGCCTAATGCTGAAAAAAAACCATTTGGAAAGCTTTATGGCTTGAAAAGGGTTTTTTATGAATAGCTTTACAAAAATTACTTTCTTATTTTCATTTACTATAATTGTTCTAATCAAAGCTTAGGGAAAAAATGTGATTACTGAATTTAAAGTTGGTTATTAAATGAGTATACATAAGAAATGTAAATTAAAAGCGATAATGTTTTAAGACTAGAAACTAAAACATTAGTATTGTAGTAACAAGTTTCTATTTTCAAGGACATTCTATAATCTAAAATTTCATTTACAGTGTCTGAATAACAACAAAGCTTGAAATGATTATTTGAAGGCAATGAAAGATAAAAAAACTTTAATCTGAATAAAAATGGAAAGCATACAGTGAAGTCTGAGCTTATCAGTAAAACAGAACAGTCTATTGACATATCTCCAGTCATCTGTTTGACAAAATATACTTACCAATATGTTTATGATATAGATATAATTGGACAATACCTTTAACCCTGGGTTTTCTATTACAGGGGTTAGAATTTGTATCTTTAAACATTACCTATGTGCACAGTGCCTTCCCTATTAAAGCTCTTCTCATGCTGCCTAAAATTAGGGGTTTGCATGATACTTCCTAATTAGGATGTGAATTCTAAGAATAAAAGGAACAGATCTTACTTACATTTGCATTAATACTTCTTGTTCCTTGCATATTTTCTGGAATTCAATTGATGTTTAATCAATCAATCAATCAATCAATGCATATGTTATCAGCATAATACAATACTGTGCTTGTCCAGTATAAAACACACAAATTCACATACCCTGAGAGAGGGAGGAATAGAGACAGTGGAGAAAACCAACAGTTTGTGTTTTTTCATTGATCCTACAATTTCTGCCATTAGAAGAACTTCTTCAGGTTTTCTGCTTCTAGAAACTCCTGAGTAAACACCATTTGATTAGCTTGATAGGGATCAAAAGAACAATGACAACAACAACAAAAAACAAAAACAAAAAAAGAGAGAGCAAGGTGAAGTTGTCATATTTTTTAGCCATGGGGAACCTTTCAATAGCTCTCTTACATTTGTGGAATCCCTCTTCTTTGGGCTCTTGTCTCCCAAGTAGAAGTCAGAACCTCACCTTCCCAGTTTCTCTTGCTGCCATGGTACAAGGACCATGCAAAATGCAGTCATAAAACCCTCAGGGACTCCACTCTGCTGGGCTTGAAGGAGGCAGCAGCGACAGGCATCCATGGGTGCCATCCTGGGGTGGCATTGTTGGGGGGCATTGGTTTTGCTATTGTCCAATGCCAGTGGCTGTCAGGTCTCTGGAAGAGTCAAGCATAGCTTCTGAACCTGATTCTATTAAATATCTATTTTTTTTTTTTTTTAAAAAAATCTCTTTTTCCTAAAGTAGTTTGAATTTTTAAAAAGAAGCCTGACTGAAAAACAGTATATAAAAAGACATGCGACGAGCAAGAAAACTTTGATAAGGGAGAAGAAGAAAGAAAGGGAGAGAATTACCCTTAATCAGAAGACTAGGAACAATTGAATGTGTATACTAGATACAGATTAAACAAAGGTTTACTAAGCTCCTAGTACATAACATACATCATGTGAGCACTTTCTCATTCATTTCCTTATTTCATGCTGTCTACACTTTTATGAGAAAGGTATACTTATTATTTTTAAAAACAAGAGATTTAAGACCCTAAAAAGTTGTTGTGTTGAAAGAACTAGGAATCAAATCCAGGTTTCTACTCTCAGTCTCATGGTCTCTGTGCTACACCAAAATGCCCTTCACTACACAGACTCAGCTGAGTACAACGCCGAAAATTATGCTGAACATTACATTTTAATTTTAAGGCTTCTAGGCATTAAAATGAACAGAAGTAGGTAGTAGATATGTGCTTGATATCTCTATCCAGACCAGAAGATCTTATCACAAGTATGATGCCATAACATTATTTCAGAACTTTTGTCAGATAA